ACAACAGGGAAATACCGGTCAAAGAGGAACAAAAATCTCAGTGTTTATTTCTCCTCCAGGCTGTGGATCATTATTATTTTCTTTTTTTCCCCTCCCTGCATCCAATCCACTCAGTTCCTCGTCCTTTCGGGAGCACTAAATTCATCATGTGAATGTAAAGCGGGGCTTGTGCGGGGAAGGGAGCTGCGGTTCGCTCCAGCAGACACATGCAAGGTCACACGCAGCCTCGCCATAAATTACGGCGTGTCCCACCATAAACAGCAACAGAAGAGGGGAAGCGCCGCGGCTTCAGGGACAGGAGGCCGCAGGGGCTGATACATAACGTCGTGACAAGTCAAACAACTCTCAGGGTGTTCACTTGCCAGAAAAATATTTTTCACATCCAATCCATTAGGCAAACAAGATGAAAAAGTATTTCCTACTTTGCTGAAAAAATACCAGGTCTCAGTATAAAGCGTGCCTTAAAAAAAAAAAAAAAAAAAAAAAAAAAATTAAGTGTGACCATCTATAATGTTTTTTTTCCTAGCAGCTCTGACAGCCTTCCAGGCATCCTGGCTGTGCAGGGACGGAGCTGGTGCTTTAAAGAGCTCTAACAGTTTCTCGCTTTTTGGCCTGTCACGGTGTTGCAGGAACAGTAATGAGTCAAATTAGTTGGAAAGAAACAACCCCAGAATTTGCTTTGCCCTCGAAACCCCTTCCAAACCCTGCTTCACTGAACCAAACCCAAATCGTTCACTGCTTTGCTTTTTCCCCTTTACTTTTTCTGCCAGGTCAGTGGGGAACGTGTTTCATGACATGCTTTTTTTTAACCTACAAAATTATTTTTGAAACAAGAAGCTCCTCCCAAAGTTTGCCTTTCTTGCTGGCTGGCTTCTCTGAACGTTCTGGACAAGTGAAAATCTAAAGGGAAAAGTCTTCTTCCAACAGTTCTGACCACTTCTAGTACCAGCGAGCGTCTCTTATGGGGAGGGAGAGCAGAGCGGTGGAAAAGCAGCTTCGCAGACTGACCAACAGCTCCTTGGGAGAGCACAGTCCTCAAGTGACCGCTGAAGAAATGAGCCTGCTGAAGAAAAAGGAACACCCCCAAACACGAGTTGTCTTTCTACTAAATTTTAATTTTTCTTTTTTTTTTTTTTTTTGACAAAGACATCTAAATTATACACAGAGTAACAACATGACCAGATATTGCAAATACCCCTTTCTGGTGAAAGTCAAAAAGGGAACATAAAAGAAAGAGCTTGTGTGGACCTAGCCAGCCCAGGGAATGCAACAGCCACCACCTTTTGCTCTTTTGCTTTTGCAGAAGAAAGAGTCCTGTGGGGCAGGGGGTGAGTTTGAGTGGGCTGGTCTCAGCCCAGTACACTTAATGAAAAAAGTCTGGTGATCAGTTATATTTTCGGCAGAGAAAATGATCATTAACATGCAAGAAGGAGTATTGGTAGGAGAAGAAATGGGAGAAGGTTGCATGAGGCTTTGGCAGGCATTCTCCGAGGGCAAGGAGAGACATCCTCCATCAGCACTGCAGAGGGGGGGGATGCGCCCGCAGCTGGAGGAGGACACAAGTCCCCATGCCCAGCATGGTCGGAGCAGGGCCTTGGACCCATGTTTCCTGATGTGCCCTTGGAGAATGTCACTTCTCCATCATCTCTCCCCTCCAGAGAACGCAAAGGAGCAGAGGCATCTTTCATCAATCACAAAGGTAAAACCAGATTTAACGATGTGAAAGTGAAGCAAGACAAACTCCCCACAGGAGAGGAATTACCCCCCTGCGACAAACTTCTCAATGCCTGGGGTGGATCTGTCTGTCACTCTGAGCCTTTAAATCAAGGCCAGGTGTCTTCCTACCAGAGGTGCTCTAATTCAACCGCAAGCCACCGTGCTGGCGGGGCAGCATTTAATGGGCTGTGTTATGTGGGAGGTCAGGAGACAGGAACATAACGGTCCCTTCTGGCTTTAAAAAATCTATGAATTGATGCGACGTGTGGCAGAGCTCCACCCATACCAATGAGACAGTTTGCTTCCCCGAATCTCACTTAAAGAAGGGCAAAGCAGGCAGAGTTGGAAGAACAAAGCCTTGCGTATGCAATTACCATAAACCCAAAGGGAGCGGAAGGGCTGGGCGAGGGGTACTGAAGGGCAACAGGCGTTTTTGGCTGGCCCCAGCCAGTTTTACAGGTGGTGTTTGGCCAGGTGCTGCTGAGGGAGGAGAGCCCTGCAGAGGGTATAGCGGATGTAAATACATTCAGATAAGGAGCGGTAAGTGAACAGAATCCTTTTACATTTTCACCAGGTCCATACACAGACAGTTTACAATACAAAGAGTATTTACAGGCATCACTGCAGGGTCACTTACTTAAGCCATGGTCATTTTAACCCTCCACGTCCATCCTCCCAGCACAGCTTGCTCTATCGGAGTCTTCCTCTCTTACTACCTGGCGCAGGTAAACCAAATTAATCTACTAGATTACAGGTGAAGCCCTCGCTGGTACAGATGCATGAAACCAATGCGTGTAGCTACACGCAAACGTAAGGAAATGAGCCAGCAAACGCTTCTGGATCCTGAGTTCAGTAAGGCAATTTTTCATTCCAAACCAGAGTGGTAAGTAAATTAGTATAAATTTATTTTACACTCATTTCCAAGATTAACCAATGTGAGCCTAAAAAACCCAAATTACCTCTTGGATGCTTTTTGGATCCAGAGAGGTAACTGTGGCGTAGGTGGGGTGTCACAGGGTAAGTTTGCCACTGGTAAAAAAGGTAGGGAGCAGGGAAGTACCAACTCAACTCCCCTGCAAGTGAGAAGGATCAACACCCAAGCCTCCAAGGGGCCTCTGCTTTATCCTGCCTGGGCCAGAGGAGGGGTTCCCAAGCATTTCCCTCTGCATCTGGCATGCAATGTGGGCAAATCTGAAGCTTGGGAGTAACTGTCACAAAGCTCTGCCACTCAACCAGCACAAAGCTGGCTACAAGAAAGGACTGCAATTCTTTACAGTGCTTGCATCAGGCAACTGCATTAACTGCAAGGAAAAGATGATGCTGGGATGCATTTCTCCTCCTTGGGCTGACCCAGGAACACACAGTCCTCATATTCCTGAGGTTAGGATTCCCGACAAGCCATTGCAGCTGGCAAGTCACTGAACGAGCTTTTTAAATGAACATCTCTCCTCATCTTATGACTCCTTACTCAATCCTTGCAAAGCTGGGGCTGTGTCACTTTGTGTCATTAGTGATTGCTTAACAGCTCACTTGAGCCTGCTCTTTTCCCTCCTCCCAGTTGTCTGCTTTTTAAAGCAAGGCTGTGCTACTCGGGAATGCACGTCCTGCCTCTGTGCTGGAGACAGATGCACTCAGAGGGTGCTGACTCACGGATGCAAGCAAATTAGAGTTGGATTGCTAAAGCAGTTGCTGTCCCAGCTGTCCCTCTGCCCCCAGCCATGGCAAAGACAGCTGAAGTGCACGCGGATCATTTCCGCTACTGTACAGCCTGATGTATGGGGGACCCGGAATCAGCCCCAGATGATTTTAATCTGCTGGGCTGTACCACGTAGGCGGCCAGGGGCTGCTTCATGTACAGTGCAGATGTTTCTTGCCATGAGATGGAGACGTCCAGGGGAAGGGAGGAGCAAAGAGCTGGGAGCTCCAGGGGTGTCAGCTGTCTGCCTGGGTCCATGAGTCAACTCGCTGACGCGTGGTAAAGCCACATGCTTTAGTACACGCAGCTTTCCCCACACTGCTCGACCGTCCGTCTCCAAGAGGTGGAAGGGGCAATGCAGTCCCCAGTCATTCTCTAGCCTTTCTCAGGCAGGCAGCAAACAAAGCTGGCAAGCAGGGAAGTGGGATTATTTTACCATCTGTGCATTAGAAACTGGCCCAGGAGTCACCAGGCTCGCTTCACGCAGGACATGGCGGCTCTGGCGTGCTAATGACTCCTGCTCACTGTCAGCTGGGGCTAGATTTGAATCGGGGACGAGGAGGTGGAAAACACATTCTCTTTCCTATTTCAGCAACTGCGTCCTTTTAGAGGAAAGCCAGTTCAGGGAAGAATGAATCCTCGTTTTAAAGAGTGCTTCCCATCTGCTGCTCATCAGGTGCCTCACCCTCCACCAGGGCAATCTGCAGCTGGCACCGGGCTGGGGGGCCCTTGGCCCAGGCAGCCAGCCCGCCGCAGCGCAGTCCCCCGAGCCCTCCAAAGGGCTAGGCAAGGCGTGCCAAGGAAGGGAGTTAGGAAAATATATTTTGCAAATTTCAAAAAGGAAACCTGGGACCTGCTATCTCATTCTAGAAAGTAATCATGGACTTAATTGCATTTTGCTGCAGAGTTGCTTTAACATCAAGGGAAAATCAACAGGGATTGTTCAACACCAAGACTAATCTCATATATGGAACTTACTGAATGTAGGAACCACATTTTTGCTGGCTCAAGGTGAAATGCTGGACTAAATTCTCCTTCAGCTGCGAAAAAAGCCCTAGGCACGCTCGTCCTGCATTATTCCAACTGTAAAGAGCTTAAATTATACACATATAACCCTTCCCTCCTTTCTACGACGGTGTTGCAATGCAACAGTGCCTCGTTATGATCAAACTCCTCTTCTATGGCTATAGGAATATGTGGAAGTCTTCTACCCTCATTACACGACTCCTTAGCAGCTTTATTTTAAAGAACTACCCACAATTGGTAACACAACTGCATTTTATCTGTCACTGAGGGGAAGCTGTGACACCTGAGCGTGTCCTCAGCAACCACAAACCCGCATGTATAGGGCAGGTCCTATGCATCTATGCAACTACAGTAACTCACCACTCCCTCTGCTCCACACTGAATCACAGTCTTGCTTCTGCTTACAAACTTGCTTGCTAATCAGACATTTAATACTATTTATGCATAGAGAGGAAATATATAATTCTTTTATTGGGATACAAAACAATACTAAAGAGCAGGTTCCAAATCCAGCAGTGGGTTTTAACCGATGTTGTTCCCTTTTTCCTTTTTTTTTTTTTCTTTTAACAGCTGTAGCTGTGCACAGATGGAAAAACATTTGGTCAGAAAAAGCAGCAAATTAGTGTTTTCAGGCTAGAATTCCGCTCCCACCGCTCCTCCAATTCCATGCAGCTCAGAACGCTTTATTTCTTCTTAGCATTGACATTTTTGCACACCCAATTCATGCCGTCCTTCAGACAGAGAAAGGTAATGTTAGTCAAGCGAAGGGAAAAGGAGTCCCCCAATCCCACCCGACCACCATTCTGCCAGCACCGTGTTCTGCTTCCTCATCTACTCCCTGTCTGCCCTCTGCACCCAAAAATGCCATGGGTAAAAACCAAGTGCTTCATTGCTCGGTAGATGTTGTCACACAGAGGTTATTAAATCTTTCATCTGACCATAAAAAGCATCATTGTCTCATCATGTCGCTATGTGTAGGTCCTTTGAGGAAGGATCACTTTGCAGTCAAGGTACGTCAGTGGCAGATGAAGGCTCAGTTCCAGGTTCAGCTACAGATGATTTGTGTAACCTTCTGCAAGTCATCTTATCTTTGAGACCATGGGTTTTAGGGGGCTGTTTGTTATACAGTCAGCTCCCTGTTAAGAATACAGCTCTAATTCTCTGCTCAGCTGCAAGCCTTGAAATCCAGATCCATGAAAGCCACTGCAGTTACTGGATCTGGACCTTGCTCCCTGTTCCTCAGGGTCCCCTCAGAAAATAGGCCCTGAGGGGTGCCACAGGGGTTCAGTGAGAATAGATGTTCTCATGTTTTAAGAGGATTATATACTCTTTAGGGTATTTCTGTAAAAATGTGTGCACGACGCCTCTGGCCACTGCAAGCAGAATGGTAACACTTGTGCTGTGGATACTCGAGTAGTGAGTTTATTGCTGAGATCCCAGAAAGGGATACGCTATTGAAGGGCAAAGCAACATTTTATCTCTTCCTGTCACTTATCTGCATGAGAGCCACAGAATGGAGTGCAAGATGCATGATCTCCTCCTATTTGTGTCCCTTCAAATCCAGTACCTCTACCCTGTCTACGAGGTATCTTTGACGACTGGGAGGTTCAGGGCAAAAAGAATGCAGGTCAGGTTTTGGGGATGAGTGGAGAGTAGCACATCCTTCTGCTTGGAAACGGGGCAAACGTCATCTTGGAGTTCTGGAGGAGGGATTTCACTGTATTATGTTCAACAGTCATTTTTGGATGATTAAAATGATAGTCAGGCCCTAAGAAAGACCAGAGCCTTTGGGCCAGCATTGTTGCTAGCCCCATCGTAGCAGTGTTGCTGGCTTCCTATGCCCTTGTCCCCAAACAGCCAAAAGCTGCCAAGGACCTCAGCTGCCCCACAGACAGATGGCCGAAAGCACAGTGCGACAGGCCCTTGGGGTGAACCAAGACCCACCACCGTGCCTCCATGTTGCCCCTCAGCCACAGAGGTGGTGGCCATGTCGGAGGAGAGCTAAAGAGTTAAGAGAGAAGAGAGGGAGTCCTCAGGGCTTAATCAGAAGCAGAGAGGTTCTCACTTGAAAATACCAAATCACCTTGATAGCTGCGCTATGTGACACTTCTTATCTGAAGGGGAGCAGCAACTTTTGAAATCAGCCCTTGTTGCTGCGTTAAATAAAGAATAAGCAGGCCCAGCTTGTGCTGGGGTGCACATGAGGCCCTACGCTAATAACACTTCTAACTCTAACCTTGGGGAGGGTTGATGTCTCCAGTTTCATTTAGTTATCTCCACAGCAGAGTTCAGTGTAAAACAAATTGTCTGAAATCCTCAGAGCAAATGGGAAATGACGAGAGGCAAATTCATTTTAAGGCCCAGTAGCTTTGTGTCTTCCCCTTTCAATAACACTGATAACCTAGGTGTAAAACATGTAATGCCTTAAGGAATCAATAGCATGGTTTAAAGCTTATCACCTTAGAGGGAGAGGGAGCGAGCCATTCCCAGCATGAGGAATGCCAGGGCTTAACAATGGGGCTAGGAGGAGAGGTGTCAAGCCTTTGGCTTGATTGTGTGCTTTAGAAATCTGCATGATTGCCTGCAAAGAGTGAAAATAAATAAATAACTTAAAAATGCTCCCACAATGATTTCAGCTTCCCCTGCCTCGGAAGCAATAATCACATTTGCACACATCATGGCATCAAGGGAAGCAGAGCTCCTCATTCATTTTGAATGTAGGTTTATTTGCTGAACCACAACAGTTGAGACAGCTTAAAGTAATAAATATCAGCTGACACCCTCTGCTATTCAGCACAGTAATCCCAGAAACAATACATCACCACAAAACAACAAACACACATCCTATCTTCTACCTAATCTGACCACAACCTGAATTCAGTGATTAAAACTCTGCCTGCTGCCATTCGGGAGCTCAGAAAGGGGAAAGACAGTTTCAGCACCAGTGCGGCAAGGGTCATAAAGCACAGTTTATGATGGGATTTACCACGGGTGGGAGCCTGGCTGCATCAAGCATATAACGAGGGCAAAAGAATGACATAGCAAAATGCAAGAGAAAAGGTGAACTCCAAACAGGCTTGAAATACGTAAGTAGGTCACCGAACTTCTAAAGCAGGGATGGATTTTAAAAACTCTCTTCTGGCATGAGTTAATTGACAGGAAAAATCACATTTAATTGTAAATATCTCCCTGCCTGACAGAGGTAAGGGGAAAACTAATATGCTCAGCTCTACGTGTGTTCTATCAAAGAGGTATGTGTAAGACACGTTCCTCATCTTCAGCCACACCACAGCTACATCTGTAGCTTCTGGTGCAACTTTCTCAGGGGGCATATGTCCTGTAGTGTCTCCAAATGCTTTGGAGAATAGCAAATGCAATGGAAAGCAGAAGAAATTAAAAGGTGCATTTGCATTTTTTCTACCTAAGGTTTGAAGCAGGACAGAGGGTTGGTAAGAGAGAGAAATCCAGGGAAGCTGCTACAAACACAAAGAGCTGCTATGGGGAAGGCACACAGAAAGGAGGAAACAGTGCTTGAAAGAGTCAAGTCCACAAGGAGACAACTGTTGTCATCCTTTGTCCCTACATGCTCCATCCCTATATCTGCATGCTTAAAAGATGGCTCTGTGCAGAAAGTACAATCCCTACAGTAATGTTTAGATCTTGATAGATGTCCTTGGGCTGCTTTGTTGAGACACAGAGACATTGGCAGGTACTCTGAGGATGGAGACGGATACAATATTAGTATTCCAGCCTCAAGTTAACCCTGGGAAAAGTTAGCCAGGGAAAGATTTCAGATCTTTCAGCTTTGCCTCTCTTAGCTCCTTAACAAGCAGCTAGTAAACTTCACCAAAGCAAAGAGAGAGAACTCCAGGGAAGAGCATAATGCTCCTTGCAGAGAAATGCTGCTTGGCACAACCCCGCCTTGCTGCAGTCACATCCTGCTATTGTGCCAAGAGAGTTGTACGCTAATGCCCTTCGGCAAAGGACTGGTAGAACTGTCCCCAAGAGAAATAAAAAGTCCTGCTTGAGATTAGCCCACTGCTTGCTTATTCTCTGCACTATCAGCTTTGCAGCTATGGGAGTGAAGTAATCTGACTTCAAACACAGCGAACAAGTCCTTTCTACCCCATAAAAAGCCTCCCGATTTCTGCTCCCCTGCAAGCCAGGGATCAGGCAAGGCCACAAACTTGTGACCCTTAATGTGACCTTAAGGACAGCAAAACTTAATCCTTTCATGTAATCCTCTGTCTGCCATAACAAATTGGGTCAGGCAAGTGCAAAATTCTCCATCTCTAGCATTTTTGGTATGTGTTATTTTAACTGTCACGTCCTTCTCCCTCTGTACAGCTAGGGCTGTGCCTTCATTATCTGTCATTTCTTTGCACCTCCAGTCATCACACAGGTTGACTTTTACAGGCTCCTGCAAGTACATTTTTCATTGTTTTTTGCCTAGGTGCAACCTTTTCTTTTGTCCTCTGAGACCTTGTATACCTGATGCAGTGCTGTAGACTCCCTCCTTACTCTGCTTAAAAATCACAAGGCTTTGCTGTGTAATCTGGAAACATGGTTGCTTTTCCTCAACAAGCACCGGCTCTGCCTGCCCTGGGAGAGCTGCAGTTATCAAAATTGGTTTCAAATCACATTTACAAGTAGCCCCAGAACCTTGTTAAGATATGGAAGATCCCCATCTAGCCTGCCCTGGCTAAGACATCTTTAAGACAAACCTAGCTCCGAGGATACAACATTGCTGGGAAGTCCTGTTCTGAATCTTGCCCTTATGAAAGTGCTGAATCGCAGCATCAGCACAACTTAGGTCCTGGGCTTCGTTCTTGACTGGGTTGAAGCAGCCAGGGAGGAGAACGTGGCTCAGCCCTTCCCACAGTCCTTTGGGCCAGAGCAGCGCTGGCATAAATCAGAGAAATTTAGTGGCTACTCTCAGTTCCACTGGCTTTTAATGGTCTCCAGGGGACCATTATGTTTGGGAGACTCTGGACATAATACACTGCAGCATCGTTCTGGAGGACGATTCCTCAGGGCAGGCTGAGCTCCAGCTGCCTTGATCAGAGAATCTTACTCCAGACATGAAACAAGCTGCAGAGCATGGACCAGTCTAAAGCCTGGAGTCATGTTTAATGTGCGCACTGCCCCTAAATAATGCCTTCAGCAAGAGGGCAGCCTGCAAAGCAAAGCTGTCCTGCCTGCTTTCACCCTACCCCAGCTGGCAGGGTGGAATGTACACCAAGGACTACAACTGGAGATCTGCTCACAAAACACAACCCCAAGAGAGCCGTTGTGAGGCAACAGTTTCCTTATGTTTCTCTGCTAACATCGGCAATCACCTCCCTCGCTTGCTGTACCCTGTGCAAGGGTCTTGGACCTGGCTCCAGAGGCAGAGCCTAAATGGCTGTGGCAGGGAGGAAAGGCTTTACTGCTTTCCTGACTAGGGCTGAAGGATAAAATCAGACCCAAGCAGACATTTTCCTTGAAAAAGCCTCTAAGCATGAGGGATGCCACTCCTCCCTCGATGGCACCATGAAGTCTGATTAACAAGACAAGTGCTGCCCATGGTTACAGTCAGGAGGTAACGAAGTCTTCAGCTGGCATAACAGGGGGTACCAGCTCACTTCCAAAGAATGCTACATGGGGTTTCCAGTTAACCCAGTCACCTCTCTTCTGAGCCTGCCCAGGACAATGCTGGGCCCCTTTTCCCAAGTCCCCAATGGTTAATTTTAAAAGAGAAGATGACAATATGGATTCCCTCCTTAATTAACAGTTTTATTAAGTAACCCATTTCAAATAATAGTTAAATCCTCTAAATTTATATCATTCTATTAACCATAATCTAATCTCATTAACCTTGAAATCCCCAATCTTAACTACCCAATTCTATACACCATGGTGCTAGCAGCTAAACTAATTAAATGACCTTCAAACTATTTCTCCTTCATGTATTGGCATTATTTATCTTTGCTCACTGCTCTTCCTTCAAGCTATCACAAAAAACTTCCCCTATGAACTCTGTTCCTGCATGTGCTCAGTACTAGATATGCTGCCACGCTTCCTTGCAAAATCCGTCAGCGATGTCTCCAATTTTACTGTAGCTACTATATTCCATCAGCAGTGAAAGCTAGCGTGCTCACTCTTTGGCTTTCATTCTGAATACCTGATGCTACCACCTCTTCATTTATTTTGATGTCATTCGTTGTAATTTCTCACAGAAATCCTTAAAGCAGTGACCTGCAATTTCACTACACTTCAAGAGCTCCCATTCTGAGCCACTGGTAGAGATATGGTGCACCACGATCCTCAAAAACATCTTTCTTAACCTCACTTTTTAAACAAGTTCTTTGATTCCCCTAAATTTTCAGCTTGTTGACCTCTCCTTAGAGTTCCAGGACTGAAGAAGTTTTTTCTTCCTGGGATGACCAGGTTTAATGTAAAAGCCATCTCCCAAACCATTTTGTTCAATTAATTTACAAGGAAAAGGAGAGCTTGGCATTCTCGCTGTCTGATTTGACAGTGGTGGAGTTATGGCAGAAGAGAAATGCAGGGTTTTTTTTTTTTTCTATAAGCTGTAGAGAGTTTGCGACTTCCCTGAGCTTTCTGCAAATAATCATTTATGGAATAAGCTGCAGTATTTAGGGCAATGAGACTGCAGACAACAAAGTGCGACATTATCTGGCCTGCATCTAAATTAATTTGTCTAGACAAGCACGATGAACAAAATTTACAGGCCTGCAAATACTTTTATTTAGCTCTTGTCTTCTGTTTTCTGGAAGTGAATGCAGCAGCAGATTTCATTTCCCCAGTAGAAGGTAGTGGGATGCATATTTTTCTCTATTGAACATATAGGGATGCACTGTACTTCAAGGAGAAGGCACAGTAAGAAGCCTTGTCAATGAAGAAGCGTGCAGCGCACTCGAGGAACCCACAGATCAGCCCGAGAAGGAGGCATTTTTCAAAGCTCACAAACAGCAAAGTGCCACTTGCTGTCATTTAGTTCTTCCATATCCAGCACACTTCCCTGAATTCATATGCCACTTTACTGTCCCTTTGCAGCTGGAGAGCTCACCTGGCCTTCCATGAACTAGAGGAAGGCCTGGAGGCGGGAAGGTGACCTATGCCTGCCTGCAGCCCTATGAACTGCAGCCTCACTTTCTTCATCACATTTCTTTGGACTTGAATATACACGGCCACTGTGGAATGCATTTCCCTTGACTACCACCACTTCAAAATAAAGATTAGAGTTGAAGACTTTCATGAGACTGGCTGCAACACAGCTGAATTTGTATCTTACCTAACTAAATAAGGCCCTTTTGAGGACACTGTCTACTACATTTAGGCCTAAACATCAGGTCGAGAATTTTAAATCAGAAGAACTGCTGTACTGGCTCAGCCCAATGGTCCATCTGGGCCAGCATCCTCTTTCTGGATGCCTAGGGCAAGAACACGTAGGAACAGGATCTGTTCTTCCTTCCCACTCCATGGCCCAAACTGTTCCTCATTCAAAAGCTACCTCCATATCTTAGTGGTCAGTGATTGCCTGTGGATCTCTTCTTCAGAAATTCACTAGTATTTTTCTGAACGAACTGACACCTTTGGTCTCCACAACATCCTGTGCCAATGAGATCCACTATTTAATTATGCAACTTGCAAAGCAGCACTTATTTTTATTTCTTTTAAGCTGTTGTCTGATTATTTCACTAGGAATGCCCTTCCTCTAGCAACATGAAAAATAGCATATAGCCTATCTGACATTTTTGTACCTTCTTTTATAAATCCTGAAGATGTTCCTATTCTCTGTCCTCTCTCTTCCAAGCTGCGAGTGATAATTTATTTATTATCCCTGTGTACAGATGCCACTCTGTGCTACTGATCATTCTTGACAGAGGATTCTCAAATCTCTTCTAATTCTAAGCAGATATATGGGCAATATTTTTTCTGATGAGGGTAGTTAAATGCTAGAAGAGGTCATCTAGAGTGGCTGTGGAATCTCCATGCCTGAAGATATTTATAAGTTGATTGGACAAGGCCCTCAGCAACCTCCATGAGACTCACAGTCATCCCTACTTTAAACACAAGGTTGGTCTAAAGATCTCCAGAAGACCCTCAACCTATTTTTTTTGTTGCACTCTATGATTCTACTACTAAAATATTTTTAGATAGGGCAGAGGCAGAAATGAATGTCATGTTCAAGGTATGGGCCAACCATGCCTTTTACTGCTACAAAAGAAATGTTTTCTGGAATGTTTTTCATTTGCTTTCTGATAATTCTCTAGCATTTGATTTTCCTCTCTGGCCTTTAATGAGCACTAAGCTGCTGTTCCCAATGATCTGCTTCTGAGTAATGGCAGCTAATTTTGAGTCCATCATCATGTGTGTATAGTTAGGATTGTTGTTCCTCATCTGCAGTATTTTGCACTTGTCAACACTGAACTTCATCTGCCACTTTACTGCCCACTCAGTACTCTGGGCTGCTTCTTTGACTCTTCATCCTCAGCTTGAGATCTGACTATCCTGAACAGCTCTGTAGCATCAGCACATAAGGTTTTACTCAATCTGCAATGAAGATAAATGTCTTCACCATTCTGTTTCTTTAAATATCAGTGAAGGGAGTACTCCTGACTGCTCAGATTTCGAGCACTGCAAATATTTCATTAATTCAGGAAAGCCTAAGAGTGAAATAAACAAACCTCGGTCCCATTTACATTATAAAGAGCTACTATACTGCAGGAACTGACTACAGCACAGGAGCCCAAGACACAGCTACTACAGTTCAGCACAAGAACACAGCTCAGCCCCCTAAGTGGGTTTTTGCTGCCCCACATGCTGCCACTGGAAGTGGTCTTTGCCCTGTGTGCAACTCTTGTGTTTCTCTGGATCAGAAAAATTGATCGGTTTCTCTCTGGCGCCTGGGTTGAGCAAAATGCCAAATGACATTAGCAGCGAAGGTAAATCAGATTTCTAAAGTGCACACTTGTAACAGTCAAAGGGGTTAATAGTAAAAACCGATGGATTTTGTGAAGATTATTAACTTGACAGCAGTCTTTCTGAAATAAATCAATGTCTTCATTTGGCCCAGACAAGGGGTCCTGGGTGGGGAGGCAATTGCTCTCCACTTTCCTGGGGATGGAGAGATCACAAGCGCCCACAGCCCCCCCTTCCCTTAGCACAGGTGATGAGACACGCACCCCATGTTCTGCGCTGCAAGGGTTTGGCTGCACTGACCCTCCTTCACAAGGCAGCTGGCCCAGCCCCACCCTGCAGATCAACAGACAACACTCTCTCACAGATGGCCTGCTGGCACAGCAAGCCTTCTCCAGAGCCTCACCTGTACTCCCTCTCCTGAAAGCGCGGAACAAGACTGGATCTGCCACACTCTGTCCCGGATTGTGTGTAGGTTCAGTCCCTCAGCAATCTCTGAAGCAGGCGCAGCCGTCAGCAAATCCTGCTTGTTAGCGAATATGAGCACGGGGACTCCACTAAGCTTTTCTTCATCCAAAAGCTCAGCCAGCTCCTGTATCATTCACAAAGGAGTGGGGTGGGGGAAAGATGGAGAGAGGGAAGGGAAGAAAACCTTCAACCACCAGTGGTTGTCTCTAATTAGAAATATATTTAGGGCAAATACTGGAAGAGTGTGTTCCAGTGAAACCTAGATCTTATTATAAGAGAGCAAAAATGTATACAATCATCTCTGCCCAACGTTCAAAAGCTATTTCTTCCAATTACAGGTTACAAAAATCTTAATCTTGGTCTGAAATTAGCAGTTGCCTTAAAGGCTACTGCTCTGTGTTTTACCAGTCCCTGCTCCCAAGAGACCAAAACTGATGAAACAGCAAAACACATGTAAATTGGCAGCATAAGGAATCTGTCTTAGGTCATTGCCTTACTGGCATTTGTACCTGAGCAGCCATTGACACCAGCCCTGATATCTTTGCTAATAATGAGTTTCAGGGTTTTGTTCCAAGTTTTATACACAGCAATTTGAGCGGGAGAGGACTTTTTTTTCTCCCAGAAATGGAAATTTCCTTCCCACAAGAAAGTCCTGATGCTTTTGAAGGCACTGTCTAGCTGAAGATCAGCTTTACTAGCTGGATTTTGGCTCCATATACAGAGCACACATTGGGTGGCATCTTGAGAAATGGGTTTGTTCATTCAAAACTGTGTGACTCAAAGAGATTCTTTTAATAGCTCAAATCTGAATCTGCAGTGGATCAACTCTGGCTGAAATACTTCATGTCTAGGGTTGTGCAATGGCCTCGTGAAACAAGCACACAGTCTCAAGTCATTTCCCTATGTGAACATATGACAAACCTAGCAGAACTCGGACCTGTAGGGACAGCTGGCCTTGTAGTTAGATAAGTACATGAGATTTTTGTGGGCTCCTTATTTAGCTGGAAAGGTCTCATGCTCCCAGATACTGTCCTAACATCTTTCATGCCCTGGCTAGAAACTTTTGGAATAAAAGAGTGCAGTCGGGGAGGTGCTAAACTGCAGCAGAAATCTGACTCCATCCCCCCAAAAGCAATGTTTGGTTTGGAAACCAGGACGAGAGAATGGAGTTATAAACAGAGTTGGCTGGGAAATTTTCAACAAAATAGGTCTTTCATCTGACATGGCTGATTTATTGAAACCAAAAGTGTTTGCAGAAATATGAGGGGTCCAGGCTGACTCTGCCTGACTCAGGCAAGTGCTCTAAGCTTCTCCTTCCTCCCCCTCTCCTTTGCCCAATGAATATTTAATTACTGTTATAAAATGAAATAGCTCCAATGGGAGAAAGATTCCCTCCACCCCCAGAACAACCAACAGTTCTGCTGTTAGGGTGTGTCCATGATACTTGAGAGGCAAAAGATCAAGCACCTCCTTCAAATCACGCACAACAGAGGGCTTTAAACTAAATCTCCCATTTCTGGGGGGTAAATCTGTTGCTAGCTATTTTGGGACACTGTCACTTTCTGAATTTTACAAAAGAAAGTTCAAAAGTCCTATTTTTGTTCCATCCGAAAACACAGAATATTACAAAACATCAAAACTTTGCAAAATGGAAATATTATTTTCTGGCCAGTCCTAGTTACAAAGTTCTTATGTTTTTTTTTCAATTGCATCCAAAAGACAATCAAGTCAATATGATTTCCATTTCAACTTTGTAAATAAGAAAATAGGATTCCTCAGGGTCTTGGTTTGGAAAGGTTTAAAGGATTTACAGAAGTTTGTGCGTTCAGTATTGGGCTCCATTTGCTATTATTGTATAACTTTAATGAAAACCGTTTCTATTTAAACTGGGAATTGGGCTACCTATTTTCCTTGTTTCACATCTACCAAAATAATCTGCATTGATGTTGAAAGGCAAGTCTCTCTTGAAATGCAAATTTCCCTCATAAACAACAAAATCATCTTCCTAACTTTTATGAGCAAGGGGCACTCAGAAGCACTGAATTACTTCAAAGGAAGCTGGGCAAAAGTAACTTACCTGACCCGTTTCTTCAAACCTCTTCCTATCTGCACTGTCAATGACATAGATCTGAAAAAGAAATGAGAGGAAAAGTTACTTTTCCCAGAAGACACTCTTCCGTAGCTGAGCCTAATGATTATGCTTTTGGGCACAAAGATTCCCGGTATTATTTATAGCAAATGTTGACAAAACTTCATGATGTTCTGAAAGGAGAGGAACCACCTCTTTTAAAGCTGAGGGGGTAGACAGCCACATGAGTAGGATCAGAAAGGAGCTGGGCGCAGTACTGGGGGTGCTCTCACCATCTTCACAGCATCTATCATCTGAAAAGAACAGGAGACTGCCTCGTATCTTTTCAAATGAGTGGTTTACAAGTTGAAACTTAGCACAGGAGGGCAAAACCTGGGGAGCCAGATGTGGGCTTTTACGCTAGCAAACAGTGTACAAGCACTGCACTGGTGTGACTGGTGTGACTATGCCACGTTGCCCTCTAGCAGGACACATCACCTCCTCAATAAGCCACTAAGGCACACAGTGGCACTCAGGGGACAGATGAATACATCAGGGAGATTGAGTTCCTCTCCATTAGGTGATCCTACTGGAACCTCCTGGAACAGGTGGCTGGGGAGGAGGACTGGATCCAGCCTGTGAGACTCATCTTCAGCTGCCAGCTTGTCCGCCAGGATGATGGAGAAGTCAGGGAGCAGCTGGCTCACAAAGCATGACAGCAGAGCCCTGCCACCCTCTCAGGGCTGGGCACCACATCTCATGGTCCACAAGGAGGTCCCAACCAGCCACCCGTCCCCTAGTATAGAGAAGGGTGGATCTCCTGGCTCGCAGCTCCCTGCCTTGGGAGGGCTTCTCAACCCTCTCCAAGCAGCATGGTACACACTGATTTATTTCTGTAAATGCAACAATCCTTCTCAGTGAAGGCAGCTCTAGGTCTGCACACGCTGAAATTCAGGCTCCCCAAAGGCTCCCCTAAACATGTAATCAGTAAGTCCAGACACCCTCCTTTTCCCTAGCAATGGTATTGCAGTTCAGAGTGCACAGGTATCAAGCTACATCTGAAGAAATGGGGAACCTCAGTATAACATTCAGGCAAGAATAGCCTGGCATCCCTTTTTCATTACTTAGTATGAGAAGGTTTGTGAAGGAGAAGGGCGCTGGGACAGCAGACAGGGACAGGACTGGTGACAAACACTGAGCATTTTGCTTCCAGTCCCTGCCATTCCCCATCAGCGGAGATTGAAGCTTCTAGCACGTCATCTGCATGCTCTTTCGTGGCTTACAGGGAGCAAGTGTCAGCCTGGTTTTCAGGGAATAGATGAGCACAGCACCCCGCCATCAAGATGAATGGCATCCTTGCAGGCAGTCTCAGCACAAAACTCCATGCTTCCAGGATAATTATGACCAAATAGTAGGGGGAGGGAAGATCTCTAGCAGCAATATCTATTAAACTGTAGGCACTCCCTTAACGAGCAATGTTAGAGTTGTTTGAAATGGGACCAAACACGCAGCAGGAGAATCTGTATGCCAGGCCTGAGGAGGTAACTCCACACCCTCACAGACCTCTCTGCTGATCACTTGGGGTCTTGCAGTTCTCCTGAGGCCGAGCTGATGCACACTGACAGCGGCTGGGAGACATGCAGCAGGGCTGGACGCAGCTGCATGGGGATACATCAGCAGTGCACACATTTGGTGCCACGTGATGGGAAAAGGCCAGTGGGCACAGTGTGACACACAACCTCTCCCCGCAATGTGATCCCAAGCACGTGCACCAATACTGGATCAGCTACGCCCATCCTCTGCTCCTCCCTGTGCACCCCACTTGGGGTAGGAAACACAGACCAAAAGAAAAGAAGAAGCTGCAGGGCTGGCAGTTGTGCTCTGGGTTGAACTGGACCATCATCTGTCCTCCTTTGGCACATCTCAAGGGAAACTTAGCAACACATGAAAACAATAGTCAAGTGCTACTTCTCAACTGAAAGGCTCCCATATTACAGTGTTTCTCAAACTAGCAAGGAAGAGCTCTGTGTCCCATCGAGCCAGGCTTTCTCCTGCACAGTTCCATGCTTTGCTAGGGAGCTGTTTTGCAAGATGAGAATTTGAGACAACAGCGCTCGGGGCAAAAGCCACAAAAGCACAGCACAGAGAAGGTAAAGTATGTGCAGAATGCCTGTTTCCAAACCAGAACGGACTGTGCCAAATAGCTGCAGGTGCCTGTCTGAATATGCAATCAGCCAGATACCCACACCTTATTTGCCTGGGTTAAGCTTCCAAATATCACAGGTGTGTAATGCAAGACCAAGCTCTCATTCAAAGGCACCTGCATAGATTTGAATTTGCAATCACTTCCTGGTTTTTAATACTCTTTAGAGGGTCATTTCTGCTTTGTGCAATATAGTTTAGCAGAAGACAGAAGCAGGAGGTCCTGGGAACTGTAGCGTATCTCATCTCCACCTTCCTTCTATGGCCAGGGCCACACAAGGGCCTGTTTCTGCCTGTGGTGCTCAGTAGCATGGTTTGCCAGTTTGAACAGCCATTGAGTACACCATGTTGGAGAAATGGAGCTTGAGAAAGAAATTCCCGTAAATCTGGGTGCCTCCTTTGAGCAACAGGCCAAAACAAAACCTGCAGTAAGTGAGTTGGGCAGAAATTGCAAGTGATGGGACTGGATGAAGAAATAACATGAGGGATAAGTTGGCTCAGTTTGCAGAGGCACAACCTGCACCAGGTTTGTTAGAGGGTAAAATTACTGGCTAAAACGGGGGTGAGAGCTAGCAGAAGAGAGACTCATTAGCATATACTTGATTCCAGTCTTGGTGTGACTGGACATAGCAAGGCACTGCACTAACGTGCCAACAGCTCCCAGTCTGGGGCTGGATGTCAGTATGGAGTGCAGGCAGGGGAGCTCAGGTCCACGTGTGCACCAGTTATTCCCTCTGAATTCACACTGCTACTTCCCCCAAACTGATTCTGCTTCTATCTACCCATTTTTTAACTCATGTGAAAAGAAAGGTTTTCTCTGTACATTGCTTTAACTGGAGTGGGAGGAGATCAGGAAAAAACAACTGCTTTCATCTCCTTCAGTCTTCAAATTCACCTTTATTTCTGCACCTCCCATGTAGCACACACTGGGAAGGGGGAAAGCCCACAGACCAACATAGCTGATTGCCTTTGCCAGCAGAGTCTTCCAGATATTGTTTTGCAGTTGCACAGTCTCTGCAGCAAGCACGTGCCATAGCAGGCAAAGATCCCCTCGCTGCTGCTTTGCAGTGCTGACTTTGATCTGCGCACCTCCTGCCTCCCCACCACACACAGCTGCAGAGCTTGGACTCAATGGGCACAATCAGCTCACAGCCGTGCCATGTCCCCCTTCTCAATGGCCACAGAGGAGCACACAAAGTGTGTCCTGCTAGTTTCTCAACCTCAGGTCTTTCCCCTAGGAAGATCTTACCATTACTCTTTGCAAAAGCAACCAACTGGGTTTATGCTGTGGTGGCTGCCCTCAAACATCAGATTCCCATTTAAGGCTGAAAAAGGGGTATCTGTAAAAGAGATTATTGCGGGTTTATTAGTCCCATTTAAATAACAGCTTCATTTGGACAATGCTTTCTAAACCTGCAGGTACAGCCAGGTCCTTCAGGACCCTGACATGAACCTTGGAGTAGAGCAGATTCCTAGTTGCACTGATCCTTCTGTGGAAGTGCACTGAAGCTCCTGACACATTAGTGAGTTCGTGTGTGTGACAGGAGGGATGAAGGGCATATTTCCAAGAGAGCTTCCTGTTTTCCCACAGGAGCCCTGCAGACCTTGCAAAAAATAACCTTTTCTCTGCTCCCACAGGCAACACTGCTTGGGGTGGGGAGACTGGAACCCCCAGTCTGCCTTCATCCTGGCACACCTGGCTACATGTTAGAGGTGATCTTTGAAACTAGTGAGGACAACACTCGGAGGATCCCAGGGGAACATACTCTGGCTTGGAAACACAAAGGTCCTGTACTGTAAATATAACTGTAGTCATCTGTAGCTAATTGTAACATAATTACAGCTATGATGTCAAAAACATTAAGGGACAGTCTTATGATTAAAGGAGCAAAAGAAAAGACAAGGGGTCTCTCTGTATCCCCCAGACAGCTTTCCTATCTGATGCCAAACATAGCATTTAATTCTGCCGTGCCTCAGTTTCCCCAACTAGAAAACAAAGGCACCATACGGACCTGCCTCTACACAAGGCTTAAGCCACTAATGCTCACAACAGGCCTTCAGCGTCTCCAGTGAAAGGAGCTATAGATGGGTAAACTACAAGTTATTAATGTTCTTTCATTTGAAGGAGACTGAGATGAGAGGAAAGGAACTGGCTATAACCAGCACCATTCTGTGAAAGTAAAAACATACAACTGAATGATTTCTCCAAACATCACTGTATTTTTCTTACTGCACCCAACCAATCTTGCGATCTCACTCAGAACAACTCCTGTTACAATGGCAATGGTGTTGCTGAGGTCTGGGACATTACATTACTTGTTCCCGAATTTCTGGGGAAGGCCATTGCATGAACACAGCATTCAACTGCAGCCAATACTCACAAGAATATCAGTGTTTTCAAAATAGTTCCTCCAGTATGGCCTGATCTTCCTCTGTCCGCCTATGTCCCATACATTCAGCTTGAAGCCTTGAGACTGTACACTTTTGATGTTAAAGCCCTGGAAAGAGCAGAAACAAAGCCACATAGAACATAAACCTGAATGGCTGGAGCATGTTCATAGGCAGACATTAACACCTTATATATCCCATGCCTGCAACATGCAGTGAGATGGGCTGGGCAGCCACAAAGATGGATCAGCTGTGGGAGAAGCGCTAGCAAAAGTGAACACAGCCACCAAACCATCAGTTTGCCAGTGTTCCTGGGTCAAGAGTTGACGCTGTCATGGCTACAGAGACACATGATGTGCCCTGGGAAGGCTCAGGAGGGTGGGTGCAGGAAGAGGTGGGAGAGCTGCAGATAAGGAGAAAACAAGGGTGCTGTGAGAAGGACTGAGCTTGTGAAAGCCAAGTAGAGAGTCCCAGCTAGCACAAAGTCAGAGGTCTCAGCTCAATTTGGCACAACATGGCTAATGCCGGGCTTAAAAGAACAACAGCTGCACGTCTGAAGGGTCCATTTCATCAATTAAAGCACCAATTGAAAGGGCATTCAAGTAGAAAAACAGGATGTGGCATGGGCTGGCAATGTACTGCCACACCACCCAGGGGACTGGGGTTTAGAATCGGGGTGTCAGGGCTGGGAGCTTTGGGAAGCAGCTATGGGGTGCAGGGAGGCATCTCCCATAGCTCTCTAGCAACCTCCTCTGGTCAACACAGGAGTGATGCTGCAGCACTTCTGATTGGAGACCTCTCTCTCCCCAACCCTGAGGCTCAAAGGGGACCAGAAGCTTCAGAGAGGGAGTGCTGGAATATGCAGGACCCTTGGAGCTGGATGGGTGAAACATGCAAGGAGACAGGGGCTTGCCCAGTGCTGCAGCATCCCCTGCACATGTCCCGTTTGTCAAGAACAACAGGAACAAAGTCTTATCCATGCAACCCTAGTATGATCCAAAAGCCTTCTGCAGAACACCATGGCATTCATCCACTGTGATGCTCTCTGGCTCCTTCAGGGAGCCTCCTCTCCTCCTATACAGAAAACACACAAACTTAATGGTGCACCAGAGGCCAGTTGCTCCCCCCCTTTTACTGAAATACTCTGCTGAATCATTAGTGCTTTGCATAACAAGGCAGGTGGGACCACAAGAACTGCCTTGGGCAGGAAAAGGCCTTCCTCACCTGTGTTGGCGTGATGTGGCTGATGTCCTCAGATGCCAGCTGTTTCAGGAGTGTGGTCTTGCCTGCATTATCCAGTCCCAAGAGGAGGATTCTCACCTCCTGGTCTGGGGTGCTTTTCAGTTTACGCAGGATTGACAGTAAACCCTAAATCCACAAGAGAGATCATAGCTGTTATTTCGCCCCCAACTCTCTCCCTCCACAATGCCCTGCCCTCCTCCCTTAAAATGAGTTCTGTGTGGCAATGGATCCCAGGACACCTTGAACCCATTCCTGCAGTCTCTATTCCCTTTTTATCTTCTATTCCTCCCCCTCACCCCTATTTTCCTTCATCTCAGAGTGTATTGACAAGGTCTCAGACAGCACAAATGATGCTCAGTGGGATGCACCACTGGCTGCATTGCTCTTGTCACACAGCTGTTTGGCATTCCTTGTGCCAGGAAGACAGTGCCTGCAGATATCCTCTGTAAGAGCTGCAAACGAAGTCCTTGTGAGCTCTTCATTATCTTTATCAGAGGGAAAACGCCATTAATTTAATCTCCCTCCTAGTTAACTGCAGGTTACTGTGTACCTGACATCAGTTCTTTTCATAGTAACTCCCTGATCATCTCAAACCCCGTTTATCTATCTAAAACATGCTGGACCCATGGGGCACGTGCAGTTCTGATTCTCAGGATGTAGCACTTAACAACTATCTCAGATCACCACACATCCTTGCTAAGAAAAGCACAGTGGATTTCAGTCATTAGCCAGGCTCAGCTCTCTGAGCTGACAGTTATCACTCAGGATTAGGAAACAGAATATGCAGGTCAGCTCATTTACAACCGCACACATTACAGCAGCAAACCCCAGCTTTTGTCAGTGCCACCACTCAGAGACCTGCACCTCTCTAATATGGCTGGAAAAATATTCTAGATCCTGGCATGTAACCAAGACATGCAAATCACCCCACTTCCACCTGCCTCTAGCTGCCCAGCCCAGCCCCACAGCAGAGGGGCAGCTGGAGCTGAGCCCATGGGCAGGATCCAGTCCACGACTGCCTGGGTGTCCTTGAACAGGTTGATGCACTGCTCTAGCAGGAACCGCTCCTCAGAGCCTGAGCAGCGCACACCACAGCAAGACCCAGCCTGGGGACACAGACGCTCTTGCAACTAATTTGCCTGAGCAAATCTGGGAGAGGAATACACCTACAGCCCTTTCTGGAGCCCTCAGGACTCCTGCTTGATTTCTCCCAAACAATTCCCATGTCCTGAAGGGCAATGGCAAGGTGTTTCTCTTCAGCCTGCTAAGACCTAGAGCTGGGAACAAAGTTCAAATATCAGCACAAACCCAAGCCTACAGGGGCCTGTCTCTCAAGATCTTTTGTTCTCCCATTTGTAAAATGAAGACAATGCTTCTTGTCGACCTGCAAGGGTGAACCAGTTAAATGTCATGAAGTGCTCTGCTGCTATGAGGAACTTCCTGCTGGGAGCCAAGGACTATTTGAGCCGTGAAGGTTGCTCCCGATCCCCTCCAGATCACAGCAATCAGAAACCTGTCCTTAAGATAAAGAGCTGCAGGATGTGGTACAACCATCACCCTGCAACACGTCCCCCGTCTGTAGCAGCGCCCTTCTGCCCATGCCTGGAGAGCTCCACCTCAGCCATTTGAAACCACCACTTTCACTGCTCATCACACCACTCCGAGCTGGGGAGCGTTTTGGAAAGAACATAGCGCTACAGGTTGCGATGCCAAAGCTTTCAATAATGCAGGATGAGAACACGCTGAGATTCAAATGCATGTGAGATTCGATCCACTCCTCTAAGCATTTTTGATTTGCAAGTTATTTATTGGTCTTTCATTTAATTACCAGACACAGCTCAAAATACATGCACAATGCGTAAGGAACAGGGTAAAAGAAAAGGAACTTAATAAAATTGGGTTTGAAGGATATCTGTAGGAAGTTGCAGGATTGCCACTGTTGCTGTGCTTTTAAAAAGCACTGTGGAAAGCTAAGGTTCAGAAATTTAGAGCTCATGGAAGGAACAGCAAAATTGCATCTTACAGCCCAGTAAGTGGCTCAGGGTATCACCTATTTCATAAAGAGGCTGGTAAAAAACCAGGAATCTAGGCCCCGCTCAAGAGCTGTTAATCAGGAACGGTCTCTGCTTGGTAGAGGGTGCCATGCCCGTACAGCACAGGCACAGTAAATCCCCAAACTACTTTCAGTCAAAGCGTTCGGGCCTGTAACATCACGTGCTGAGCCCTGAGGGCCAGATGCTTGCAGCTGGCTCTCACCCATGGGCTCATAGGTAACAAATTTGAAGGGCTGTGTTCAGTGCAGCCAGTCGCTGCAAGCCCTCCCAGCTCAACAGCTCATCTCCCCGGCCACAGCGCCCAGCCCATGTTCTGCCCCAATGCTGGTCCGTACTTCCACACCTCTGAGGGACGAGAAAAGGAACAACGACAGAAATACCTCTAATGCTTATTTGTTTACATGCACGTCCTAAGTGCCCTTGACATCATTAAAAAACACAGGTTTTAACTGCAGGACTAGCAACACACATTCTTTTCACCTGCAGTCAAATTTACAGTTGTGTTTGTTGGCTTGTAAATCCACGGATTTCAGCTCGGTGTGGACAGACCGCACAGGAGCAGGAACTCTAAAATTCACACATTCTTCCTCCTTTCCAGGGAAACGCTGAATTTCCAATTCTTATGTGCCTGACCCAAAGCCAACCCACACCAGCCAAAGTACCACTACCGACTTCAGAGAGCTCTGAATCAGGCCTTATTATTTTAGTTTATTGCTCACAGTTAAAAAAAAGAAGCTGTTGAAATGCTAATCTTATTCACAGCACCACTTGCCAAGAGCAGAGCAGCGCATCCCAGAGCAGATCAGGATTAGGAGCCTTTATATTTCAGAATTCAACTCCAAAATACTGAGCGCAAAGAAATGTATTACAAAGTATTGCTTATCTACCACAGAGCAATTCTCAAGGGTCGGGAAGAGGAACAGTTGTAAATGTTAATAGAGCTTCTCCCATTGTAGACGGATGCTATTTCTGGGCTAGTATGACAGCCAACGAGAAAACGATCAGCATCGTTCCATATTCTACTCAAGTGACACTGCTGCATGGCTGATCACAGGATTATCTGGGGTAGCCAATAGAAAAGAGGATATATATAGAAATAAAAGTATTCTCTAAGGTATAAAGTAAGCTGATTTAAAAGGCTGGAAGACAAGCAAGCCAACACAGAGAAGTGGACTTATTTCAGGAGCTGCCGGCATAGGTTACATGGTCTGTATATACAACTTAAATCAAGAGCCAAATAATAGTATTGGTTACTATGTTTGTTACTATTTCATAAATATTATTTAAAACTTGCACACAGCATTCTCCCTCTAGTTAGTGAAGACTTAAGATTAAGGAAATCCATGCACAGATGGGTTTATAACTTTTTTTTTTTTTAAATTGGTCTTATGAGCACACTGGCTAGGAAGACAGAAAGCATTTCCTGACAGCTTAGTAGACTGGAAAAAATAACTCAGCCGAGTTCCCTGCTGCATGCCACCACTATGTGGGACAAGCCACACTGATGGACAAGCAGTTCTCCGCTCACAAACACAACGCTGAAACTAACTTGGGCTGATGAGTGTCAGAAAACAATCCCTCGTTATTGATGGGAGGTGTCAGGTAAAAAACCATGAAATGGGAAAATTTGGTGTAAAGAGGATGCTCAGAAGCAACAAGAGAGGAGCACGCCCTTGAAGTGGGGCAGCGAACAAGTGTCTTGATGCTGGGACTTAACCTGCAGCGAGGACAGAGGATGCCCAGGATGCCTGCATGGCAGCCAGTCCAGCTGCACTTGCTCACTGGGGTGTCCAAGGTGAGGAGCAGGACGAGTCTCGAGCAGGACGGTGGAGATGTTAGCTGGCTGAGGAGCTGCAAAGACGACTCATAGGAGTATAAGGGCAGTCTGTTGTTTGCACAGAACTAAGTAGACTGCGGCATCTGTAAGAGAGAAGGGAACTGCAGATGCCGTTGAGATAATGAACTGCACAGCATGGCAGCGTGTGCAGCCTTTGAGAAGGGCAGCCACACAGAGCAACTCAAGGCTGGGCACAGCCAGCCAGCAACCGCTTATTGGTCACCTCTGGGTTAAGCAAACTATGTTTTCTATCAGATTGGCTTGTTTAAAAACATCTTTGTCCTTGGTGGAGAGGGTTTTCTTCACGAGCACCATGAGGAGACAGACTGATGGGGTCATCAATGAGGAGACTGCATCTTCCAGACAGTGAGTGGGGACGTACAAAAAGAAAAAAAAGATTCCTGACAATTACTATGAAATCGGAGTGGGGCATTAAATTCAGAGATGCAACTAAATGGGCAAGAGCACTCATAAACACATAGAGCATAAAAGCAAAGCTAACCGTCTTATTAGCATCCTTCAGAAAACAGGGATGTGTGGTTTTATGAAAGTATATCATTGCTAGGTTTAAAATAACCACTGAATTATCAAAGGACTTTCAGTTATAGCTGCATGCAGTAATCCTATTCTCTTAAAAAAATACAGACATATATAAAAATACAGTGACATTTATAGTCCTAGCTAAGGGTTTTGTGGGTTTATTCAGCTTTAAATCCATGCTGTATATGGGTCTTTTGAACTAGTTGATGCATGTAACTACATCCTGTACCACAGAAGCCACTGAAACGAAGATTCACTTTACAGGTCAAAGCAAAAATTGGTCTGGGACAAACAGAGCATTGAGATAATCTGTTTAAATATTGTATCAGATTGGCAATATAAAGCCATAATGGAAAGAACAATTTCCCCTTGTACTGAGGGCTGGTTACACAGGGCATGGACAAGACACGGCCTGCAAGCCGCTGCAGTGCACAGTTGATTCCTATTAGGAAAGAGAAGTAAATGTACTCTGTTTAATAGCCACAAAGCTCAGATAATGAATTTAAAATAAAACCACGCTCAGTCACCAGCAATTGCTTATCTACTAAATGTGGATATTTAGCTAGAATCAAATCAATTCACCGAGATGCACTACAGCCACAAAGCTTAGCGCCTCTGCCTGCCGTGACCACATCTCCCCCATCTCTACACCCCTGCAAGGACGCCCTCTTCCCCGCTGCTGCAACCATAAGTCA